CCCCACATGGGCACGTATGCTACCAACTTTGACTTTGTTCCCACGTTAGGTGACATAAATATAAAAACTTTCCCGAATACTATATATATATATATATATATTTGATTTGATCATGAGATACTCTCCTTTTTCAGTTTGCAATATTTCAAAATGAAGGTTTGAAACACTTAATTACAAAACTCTTAGTTACAACAACATTAGATTGTGATATGAAGATAATTTTTTATATTATTTTTATATATTATTAAATAAATATATATTTGATATTAAAAATTTTAAATGAATAAAAAAAATTAATCACTTAAATGACGTATAAAATTATATAAAAAATAATATAAAAGCATTATACCTAAATCATTTTTCTTAAATATACCATACTAGTTAAAGTATAAATTGAGTGAAATTTAAAAGACAAAGAGCGATCTTTGTTATTTCGTCATACAATCATATCCAGATAGAAGTCATTCTAAAGATCAAGATTTTGTAATTTGGAAATTATCAATTTAGCAAGCTGTTTGTTGGTTGAATTTTCTTCATTACCTTTCATTTTCTTTCTATTTCTCTCTAATTAACTATTTAATTTCAACACACATAAAAATCATTAAAAATTAAATTAGTTAAATTTTCGCTTGTTGATGTGGTCTAATTCAATTACATTGATTGAACAATTATAATATGATAATTTGTTTCACTTAATAGATTTCATAAATTGATAGTAAAATGACGGAGCTACAATATTTTTTAAAGAATAATTTGCACAATATAACATGGCATATTATGACTTATTCTTTTTATTTAAAATTTATGTTTAAATTAATATTTATTTACTCATTTTAATAACACATTATATTATATAAAATTATATAACAACATTATAGTCTTACAAACTTTAACAAGCATTCACTCTATTTAATGTTAAATTATCATTCTTTTTCTCTCTAGTTTATCTTACTCATTTATTATTATTATTTATTTAAAATTATATAATAAAAAAATTCTTTCATTTTTTTAAATCACTTAACTCGAAATATATTCTATACCCATTAGAATTTAGAATAATTTACTTTTTAGTAAAATGAAATTTTCCACTTAAATAGTTGGCATCCATATATTATTACTCAAATTGTCTCAACACAATAATTTAAAGAATCTTAAATGCAATTGTTAAATTGAGCCTTATAGGGTTACTAAGTCAAATTTAATTAGTATATGCTCAATAAAATTTAATGAAATATCAATTTTTTTTTTTTTCAATTTTCAGTTACTTTCTAGTTTCTGCCAATACTCTATCTTCATCAACTCCCCATCTCCACCTTCTGCATAAATCTTACGGTTAAGCGTTCGCTCAACGCCCAGAGAAGCCATGGAGAGGCTTCTGTATTCGTCTTCTCCGACCACCCCTTTCAAGGTCTACCAAAAGCCCCAACCTTTATTATGTCGACTCGGTCGATTTGACTCTCCAAAACTGAATTTACCTTCGCTAACCCGTCCTGAGCCGAGGCGAGTCATCTCAATTTCGTGCAAAAGCGTAAATCCATCTCAAATTTGTTCTTCTCAATCTAGCCCTGCCAATTTTTTGCCGCCCCTTGATTGTCACGGAGTCGATTCGGCAGATGGATCGTTGCCCAGTAACAGTTTCCTCAAGCTCATTGCCACTGGAGGTTCTGGGACAAGAAAGGTATTGATTTTATTGTAAAATATGGTTAAGATAACTTTTTTCTTTAATTTTGTTTTGTGGTTGTTTTCTAGTAATGTTCTGTGATGATGGATCGCTGGTGAATTTCTTCCTTATGTATTCTGTTTAATCACAATTTAATATGGTTTTTCTTTTTTCTTTTTCTTTTTTTTTTTACTATTTTCATTAGTTTTTGGGTTATTGTTTTATGTGATTTTGTGTTGAAGGCGAAATTGATTGTAACTTTGATTTTGATGGGCTGTTTGGCTGATGGGAAAAGACAGGGAAGGAAAACAAAAAGTTGAAGACTTTTTGATGGTTTCTCTCATATTTATTTAATCTATTATTGATCATTGTCCCAAATATTAACTTCTGAAAGAACAGCTGTTGCTAAGTCGATCAGAATAAAACAATAGACATTAGAGTAGTTTCTGAAATTCTGCTTGGTGTTTGATTATGAATCTTTCGAGGATGAAACTGCTGCTATAAATTTTGAATGGTTTGATGATAAAGAAAGGATTTTGCATAAGAACTAAGGCTTTCTCCGCATAAACCGAAGAAAGGATGAACGCTTGAAAAGGGAGTATGGTAACTACTATGAAATGGGGATAAAAGGTGGTTTTCAAGAGTTTGCATTGGCCAGTGTCTGATTATGCGGAATTAGACTGTTGCATTATAGGTTTAAAATTTAGAGTTAGCTGGGCTGCATAAACTGGTCCTTGTAATGTCTTTTTTAAGACCATTCTAGAAATTTGAGGTCAAGGCAATGAACTCTGAGGAGCTGCATAGAGATATTGGATAGAAGATGTCCTTGCTTTAATGAGTTGGAAATTGATGCTTGATTGTTGAGTTCCCATGTACACTAATTAGACATCATTTCTACTGCCTCATAGAAGTGTTTACTAATTAGGAACAAGACTTTCTTTGGAAGTAGATAAGCCTATGCTATCAAGAATCCATTGCTGTCAAAAAGCTTACACAAGTTTTTGTATTCTACACATTTTCAGGCAATTTCTGCTGGGACACTAATGGTACTTTCTGCTGTCATTGTGTTCTTAATCCAACCTGTTTTTGCACCAGCAGCCTTTGCAACCTTTCAAGCTTCAGTTAAGACTGGGGGTCCTGCAGCTGCTGCAGTTGGGGGAAGACTGATCCATGCTGAATTATTAAGCAGTGCATGGACTGGTTTCTTCGCTGGTTGCTTACACACTCTATCAGGGCCTGATCACCTTGCTGCTCTGGCTCCACTCTCAATTGGTCGTACTCGAATAGAAAGTGCTGTTGTCGGAGCTTTGTGGGGTTGTGGCCATGATGCAGGTCAGGTTATCTTTGGATTGCTGTTTCTACTTCTAAAGGATCACCTCCACATTGAAGTTTTCCGGACTTGGGGAACAAGAGTTGTGGGCTTAACCCTGCTTGTTATTGGTGCCATGGGTATCAAAGAAGCTTCGGAAATTCCTACCTCATCTGTTGCCCTAGAAAATGGCAAGTTTGATGTTAGTGTCTATGAGGCACTTGAAAACCCAGCAGTTGGGAAGAAGAAGAAGAAGAAGATTGGTTTTGCCACTTTTGCCACAGGGATTGTACATGGTTTGCAGCCAGATGCACTGATGATTATTTTGCCTGCATTGGCCTTGCCATCTCGTGTGGCTGGTGCAGCATTCCTTATCATGTTCTTGATTAGAACCGTAGTTGCAATGGGAAGCTATACTGTATTTATAGGTTCGTGCAGCCAAGCATTAAAAGAGCGGGTGCCGAGAATAACTGAGAAGCTCACTTGGGCATCTTCCCTTGTAGCAATCGGACTTGGAATTGCCATTATCATCAGCCAGTTTTTGGGATATAGTCTTTATTGATCCTTCTGACTCGGGATTAAGCGTCGCTTTTACAAGCTTCTTATTGAGAATTAGAAAAGGTCTTAGAAATGATATTGAGATTTGTTACAGGAAAATTTCATCTGTGCTGCATCTTATTCTTGTCCGGTGAGAATCAGTCTTAAATCCTTTTAAAAGTTGTATCTTTAACCTCATAAGTGAGCACTCACGAATTCTTTGATGGTAGAAATTTCCTGTTGGTTCGGCTGTTTTTTTCTTTTAGATGTTTTTTGCATTTGCATTGCTATACTTAACGCCGCTTCAAGAGTGGCCATTTGACTTATAAAATCGTTGTCCATTAGAATTAACAAATATCATTGGGGATGGATCCTCTCCCGCACCATGGCCAATTTCTTTGCCTGCCGGCTCAGTGGTTTCTTCCTTTCTAATTCCTTTGTTATAAACCAAGAAACGGAAAATAAAATCCAAGTAAATAGGAATGGAACCTCTAATGCATCACTCAGGATTCATGAATATGCACACCAAGGCTCCCAAACTAGTGTTTGTTATGGGATTATCTATGCCTTGACAGCTGCAAAGGCTCATATGATGAATTGAATGACAGATTATGGCATTCAAACAATTTTTGAGAAAATTATTTTTATCATTACATTCTTAGTACTAACTTACAATTTCAAACACTAAAAAGGTGTACCAAACCACTTGCTAGAAGTTCCACAATCCAAAATTTAGGCCGTTCAGACAAAAATAAGATGTCAATCCAGAGTAGAAAAGATTGATACCAATCACAGCTTCTGCTTTTTCTCCATGTCATAAAGCACGCACGCATCTGCAGCTGTCTTCATCTGAAACCATGAAATAATCACACTAGGTGAACCATTCGGTTTCCAGTTGCAAATTAATCATTCACGCATGCACTTTAAATGTGGTATTGTTCTTTTAAATGGTAGACCCCAAAATGGACCGCTTTGAGGAAATGAAACCCTTGAACTTCAAGCATATTTATAGCACCAGATCACGTCAGTTAAGTTCAATTTAGAACCCTTGACCACGGAAATCTCAGGCACTACATAGGCCAAAGGTAAATTCAGAATACGGATGCATCTCACTTTTGCCACTTCATGGATTCAGAATGCAGTCATATCAATTTCACTACTTAACAGCAAGGAACATCATCATTTGCTAACAAAGTCTTCATTACTGAAAATCATTTTCAGATAGATAAGTCATAAGAGTCTCCATGGAAAATAAAAAGGCAAAAGCATATACCTGTATAAGTATAACATTAACAACCTGCTTGATTGACCATCCAGATAAACTTAAACCAACAAGACAAGAAAGAGGTGAACCCTGCCTTATGGTAGCCATTAAAACCTGGAAGGAGAAATAATATAGAAATTCAGAAATCAAGATGCAACCGCCCTACATGTAAGGTGAATAATACCAGAGACATAAACAGGACTCACATCTTTCAAATTTTCATTTTGCTTGTCTGCAATAAGAAACAGGGTAATGTAAAGAACCTGCAAAATTAATTCATTTGATCATGAGTCATGACTTCATGAGAGGAGTACCAAAAGCATTGGAGTATTTTCTACAGCAACTGAATGGACCAGAGTTATAATTTACCTCGCATGCCACACAACAAAACCCCATAAACATTCGGTTTCCATAGTAAAGTTTGAAAAGCCAACTACTACTGTCTTTAACGTCTTTATGACTTGCCTTGCCTGCTAGGAATGTACTGTAATTCATGTAATACAAGATGGTGAGCGCGGGCATTTCCCAAAAAATAAACAGTCATCCAGCGAAAATTTATCAATACTGGTCCCACGGGGGAAAAAGATTTACCTGTACATTTGCAGCCAGTGGCTAGAGATATCTATGGCTAACAATGACAAGAATGCCAAGCTAGGCCTGGATATGATCTTGACATGGCAGAAGGCCGGCAGATTAATTTTGACTAACACAAAAACGTGATAAAATGCAGACAAATTACTTGTAGACTTGGGAGAGTATAACTAGCAGACAAGCAGTGCTAATCCTGAAATATGAGACACATTAACTGAAAGGACTAATAAGACAACCGATAACTAAAATTTTGTGGCGTAAAAGATAGGTAAGAAACTGGTAGAATCTAAATTCCTATCGGCCCCCACCATGGAGAGACTAGAAACTTCACCTGTCTGTTACCATGTCAAGGACAGCTCCAAATGTTGAAGCTGGACCAGGGAGGAAAAGAGATGAATCAAATGCTGCACCAAGGTATTTGTTTATAAGCAACTAACATTTCTGCTCGTAATTTGGAGAAAGATAATTAAATCACTGAGTTTCATGGGCAATACTCACCTTTACCATTATCATTATATCCATTTACTAGAAAACTATAGTAGCTAGACAAAGACATGAAACTAGCTATAGAACCTAAATGAAAGTTGATAACATCAAACAACTAAGGAAAGAAAATGATAACTCCAGAGTATATCCCTCAGTAAAAAAGAAACAAAAAAGTTTTATACAAGCATACATACATACATACATATATATAGACAACAACAAACTGGTTTCAGAGTAAGAGACTCTTACTTGTGTTTTGCATATTTGAACCAAATCAATGTATTTGGAGGCACAATATTATATTTGGCTACCAGTCTTATACTTCCACAAAACTGATATGAGAAAATTGTATTAATCCACATCTTGATTGAGTTTGCGAGCACACCAACCGTCCACAGCATCACAAACGAAGCTGCAGGCCGAAATAGAACCATTTCAATTCTCTCAGTTTTACGTATCAAAGGCTTTCTATTCTAAGCTAAAACCAGTTACAAACTAATTAGCTAATGGGAAATATTATTGGAACAACCATTTTGTCCCACCTTTTTGTACAACTTGACACGTCATTAAAATGATTGGTTACTTTAATTCATGTGGGACTTGTAATATTGAATACATCAACTCATTTAATGACATGTGAAAGTTATACAAAAAGATAAAACAAAAAAGTTGTCCCAATAGTATCACCCTTAGCTAATAGATGAGTCTCACCTTAGAAAATAAAGCGCAGAGAAAAGCCTTTTGCTTGAAAAGCAGACGGCCAAGGCATAGCAATTTAAGAGAATTCTCATATAACCTGAATCAACAATGTAACACACATAATAAATTTAACAAAACCAAGACGTAATACAATTGTGTTTCTAAATACATAACCAACCAACTTATAATGCTCGTCTTTGACAAATAAAACCCAGACATGATAACCCCTAAACCCAAAAACATAAACTGCACTCCTACCCCAATATTACATCATCCATAGCTAAACATAAACTTTAATAACAAATTACCCATGAAGCTAATCAACCCAAATATATCCAAAAATCTCACTTACAGACATAATAACTAACTAACTATTCAGCACTTGTAAGTTACAATTGAAGTACACAGATTCAGGACTAAAAATAGCAAAAGAAACTGACCAATGAGATTGGGAACGTAGAAGTAGACAGACAGTTTTATGGGCTTCGGTTTTGACTTGTTAGCCATTGCAGTAGATCAAAACTGAAAGATTAAACTGCTGCTCTGAACTCCAGATGAGCTTTGTGAACTAAGAGCTTTATATCTTATTATTCTAATTTTTTCAACATATTATTTATAAATATTAATAATGATAAATAAATGTAAAATTTTAATTATATAAACATATAATTAATATTTAAAATAAATAAATAAATTATTAACCATCTAAATAATTCAGTGGTCGCCTCTTTTCGCTAAAAGTAAGAGATTCTGAATTCGAATCACATGATATGCAAGTGAAGTGAGATAAAAAACGAGAAATACCTCTTATTATGTAATCAAGATAAAAAATAAATAAATAAATAAATAAATTAAATTAATCAAATAAATAATTTTCAACCCTATATTCGGTTAAATAAGTCGGGTGGCTCCAAAACTGGAATGGCCTGAGACTGGGACCGACTACCGACACAAAGCCCATGCATGCTCCTAAAATAATTAATGATAAAAGTATTTGTATTTTCAATTATATATAATTTAATTATTAATTTTAACTTAAAAAAAAAATGGGAAGAGCAAGAACTCAATGGCTGTCCAGGCAGCAAGTCATACTCGGCAGTAATCACAAAATTTTAATTCGTAATTTTTATTTGATGGATTCATTCACATTCCAAAACGTTTCCTAACAGGCTTTTCCGGCGGAAACTGAACCGTAGCCGTTGATGATAATCGGTATTTTATTGGGATGCTGACATGTCAAAATCAAGGAAGAGTCAAAGTCCACGTCCGCTTTAACCCCGTGTGCTACAAGTAAACAAAAGGAATATATATTTAATCAAAACAAAAATAAATAATGAGAAAAAAATAAAATATTTTGATATTAAAAATATTAAAAATTTTAATAAAATTAAAATTTATATTTTAATTTACCTATTTAATTATTATAATGAAACATGTTTAATATTAAAATATTTTAACTTTTTATTTTCTCGTAAATAAATATTAATAAAGCACATGTACTATTAAGAAAAATCAAACATCAAAAATCGAAATCCCGTCCCACGCACTCGTCGGACTAGTGGCCCCACTGCCACTTTTCCACGGAAAAAGTAAAACAATTGAAGAACTGTGCCGGTAAAAGAACCAGCCGGACCCACCTACAACGAGTCACTCGGGAATTTGTTCCACTTTTTAAAAATATATATTTTTTAAAGATCACACTAACATATGTTTTTCACCTTAAATTAAATTAAAATATAGGAATAGATATTTATATCATTTTTTTAATATTTTTCTTTGATAGAGTAGTATTTAACTTTTATTTTTTTATATCATAATATAGTCACCTTTAAAAAAAAAATATGATAAGAGTTAAAAATTTGAAAAAAAAACTTTGAGCGATGTTATAAGGATAATTTTTTTATATTATTTTTGATACAATTTTCATATGTTATTAAATAAGTAAATATATTTAATATCACATGAATTAGAAAACTTAATTATTTAAATGATAAATCAGATTATATCAAAAAATGATATCAAAAAATAATTAAAAAAATTGTCTCAAAATCATTGAGAAAAATATATGTAGGGTTTAAAAATTTTATGAAAATCCATCCCATGTTGAGATTGATTTGGCAAATTGAAGCGGTGAAAGGAAGCAAAGGATGTATATCTCCCACTATGTTGCTAGAATCAAAATAAACTTTTTTTCACATGAGTGCTGTGCGAACAGTTTTGTTTACTGCTATCAAATGACGAAGTGGTGAGGGCGAGAAATCTGATATGTCTAATCTCCCAAGATTATATACCAATTCAAGGGGTGAAGCAACAACCCCTATAAAGGAAAAGATGCCCTGTCCTGTAATTCCTCTGTTCATTTTTCATTATTTTTACTTCTAAGTACACAT